TATGCCAAAGGTCGGAAAACAGGAAAGCAGGCTGATGCATGTTAGAAGGAATTCCACGAACCTTAGTTAAGTCGTGGGGAAAAATTGCGAAAAGCAGTGTCAGGGCTGGGCTAGGCTCGCACAGACACTCGCAAAAAATCTGCCGATTGAGGGAATCGAACCCACAACCTCCATACTCTAAAGCCGAGAGAGGCACCACTAGGCTATCGGCAAAGCATACAAATTTAATGAAATATTCTGTCGAACGATCCTATAGAGAGCGGATGCCGCTCTGATAGCAGGATGTTTAAATGACAACTACGTGTTGTCAACTTGTCATTTAAGGGCTTGCCTGGACATTGCACCACGGCATGCGTTGCTGAGCCACTGCTGTTTCATCATGCCACACAAACTCCTATATCATGCGGCTTGTCCGCGGAAATTAACTACAGTATATAAAACGCCAGCAGATATTGGTTTCAGCAGTTCAACGCAGATACGATTGATAATACATTCACGGTTAATATTTTGCTCCATTTTAATAGAAACTCTTCGTTACCGTTGTCCTACTACAATGTTTTCGTGTCTGGCGGTTGTAATCTTTTGTTGGCAGCACCGCTGTTTAGCGGCAGCCATGCAGAATGCTGCACTGGAAAGTCGCTGGCACAGTGTCGACCGGACGGGAGTTTGGCCACACTGCATACCAAGCTCTGCGGCGACTGTACGATCGGGACACCGCACTGTGCGCATGGAAAATGCAATATCTTTGGCTGTAACTGCGATGGAGGCTGCCGCACTGGACGTTGCGTGGACGGATGCTTCTAGAGAGGAAATCAACGATCCGGTTAACGGCAACGTAGTTGGGTCACACGAGTCTATGTTTTGCGAATAACTAAGTACATGTCAAGAACGCGCATTATCGTGCACACGCTTTTCAAAGTTTCTCTTCCTGCTTATACCATTTTCCATATATTTGCTTATTTTAACAGCAAGTTGGAAGTGCTGATACCGGAACACTATTATGTTACTGTACAAAGATGGCCGAAATACAGAATAAAGTGTAATTATAATATTATTGCGACTTATGAACCATTGAACGTATCTGTACAATACGCTGTAACTGTCCTATGATGAACCAATAGATATCGCGCTAAGAGTCTAAGAGACAGTAGTGGCTGTCTAACATAAAATTTTCTTTCGGCATGAGGCAACTACGAAACGGTAGTGAATCTACTGATGATGATGATGTGCAACATGTCAGCATACTATTCATACAGAACTCAAAACAAGCAAAAAATTCAAAAATTAAAGGTTCAAAAATATCGGAAAACATTGCGTGACTTGCCTATAATCGTTTCGCTAAAAAATCGTTAATTGTAGCGGCACTGGTGGGTGTTCTTGCCTTCTTTCCTTGCCTGAACAGTTAAACGCTCTGGCCCGAATAAGACGTTCTTTACGCACCATTAGTTGTGGTTGACTTGTTGTTAAGCGCATCACTTCACCGAGCGCGCGTCCAGTTCAGCTGGACAAGGTATTGGATTTGGGGAATGGAAAGTGTTACACCATGCATTTCTTGGTGTCAGACAAATTTATTGCTTATAACGATCGAAGGCTTAGTGTAGCATCTCGTTGTGCTCGATGCAAAATTATGTCGCTGACATCATGTCCTCTGATGTTGGACTGGCAATGCATCTGAGAACAGCAATAAAGTGTTAGTTGCCTAAAGATACTGGAACGAAGCGGTCGCACTGTTGTCCGCTACACTGATAGTAGTTATGTTTTCTGTTGCTCGATCTGGAGAAACATCTTTATGATTTCTTTGAAATTATAGGTATGCACTTTTATAAATTTCCATAGATAGCAGCAATCTTGCAAAGCTTGTTACAAGATATACTTTTATGCCGGGTATATATGCACACTGATTTGCAGGAAGCGGAGAATAAAACTTATTGCTTGAATAACCACATTCGCACAAAAGCATTGATCCCGCTTTTCAAAACGCGTGTAACGAAGCAGTAAATCCCGTTACGCCGCGGTTCGGTGGATGGCGCGTGCCCCAGTTGAAATCCGGACAAAGTACCACTGAAGTCTGAAGACAGCTGTCGGGAACAGCATGTGACCACCTAAAAACCAACCACCAGAAATGAGGTTGCGTACATAAGAGAGTACAAACCGAAAAGGGAGTTCAGCCATCCGGTGTTTGGACGTGTGATCCAGGCAAAAGTACATCCCGTACAGACAAGCACGGTGCCACCGGAAATAAAACTGCCTTCTCGTAGAGCCGAAACGAAACAGTTGTGAGGTGAATTCCGTAGTACTGTCTTACATAGTTCGGCTCAAAGTTTAATAATGTTTTATAAGAATAATTTTATAATATTTTAGAGCAATGAAGCAACATGATTTTGCTTTTGCAAACTAGCGCCCCGACGCGGTTGGCCCAGCTGAATGAGAATCGGCCGTTTGAACACCGAACAAGTGACCGCATGCGAGTGGACGAAATGTAACTGGCGGAAATGATCGGGCGCGATCCAATACAGTGTGGCATTCTTACGCCTACAAACAGTTGTTGTGGCACCCACTAGAATGTACTTGCCGACATACCCGACCTGCAAACACCTGCCACCGACGGAAATGTCCGCAAGACGTTTCGGCCGTTTCCTTCGGTTATCGATGACCCATTCACATCTTGCTAAACCTTTATTATTGTTTCCACAGATGGGTGAACTTTGAGCATTAGTGACCATTACTGTCTGATATTAGGGTAAGCGTTGACAGGTTACGCTTATTAATTGTTCTGCTACACCTGCAATGTTGCCAACTGCATTCAAGCTTATCAGGCACTGCAAATTTGTAAATTACGTTTGATTGAGAGTGATTAACCGCTGGGAGTATTTAAAACATGCGGACTTAGTACCAGAGATAAATGCAAGGAATCGCACAATGAAACCGCAAAGTTTTATCAGACTCCATTGATAACGATTGCTGTTACACATAACTTTCCGTCCGGTAAGCTGCACAACGAGCTCGCGGAGTTAATGCATCGTGAGCATATTTTCGCTCTAAACGTCGTTAAAAGCAATTTTCACTTAGATATTAGAATCAATTGAACTATGGAAACAAAATGGGTTCCACCAATACTTTTACAAAGTTACACCATCGGTAGCACGTGCACCTACACTTACGGTGCGAGGAACATAGTGAGACAAGGAAAATTTGGATTTATTTACCAAGCGGAAATTATTGACCGCGGTGATTTTGCTGGTAGCCAAGCTGTAGCGGTGACATCTTTGGATTTTGATCTGAAAAGATGGGCAGAAGCGGAAGAGAACTTTCGGTCCAGAATGAAGCATCTCATGACATTAAAGCATCCTCGTGTAGTTTCGTACCACAAAGTGTCTGTTAAGACGTTTTCTGGTGGAGTTCATATCGAAATGCTGACGGACCTTTACGCAAGTAAGTGACAAAACTGCTATTTCAAGGGATTCCCGGCATCCCTTATTAAGTTTCATAGTTTAATTAAGTATGTTTTCTTGCTTTAGGTAGCGACTTGGCACAGTTTCTAAGAGGACTGGCAGATGCTCAGCGTCGTCTGCACCCCGCAAGAGCACTTACGTTTGCTATCGATATTGCGGAAGGTTTACAATTTTTGCATGAGAACGGAATTGCTCACGGGGACTTGAATCCAACAAATTTGCTCGTTAGCAGCACAAACAGGCTGGCAATTACTGATTTCTACGACTGTGTGCATATTAAAAGCGACGTTACCGCAACCGATGGCATCACTGAACACCGCAAATTCGTTATTCGTTATACATCACCAGAAATGCTGAAAGTCTTGGCACCCGGATTCAGTGGTAGTTGGACGAAAAACGGATATTTGGAACCTGGGCTGCATTATCCTTGAGTTAGCTCAGCTAACATATTGTACTCTAATGGTAGATCCAGAACAGATCCACAGACGGAGACAGAAACGGAATCTATCCTGCGGAAGTGAGCAAGCGATCTGGATTGCGAACTATTGCGAAATCACAAAACGTCGCACCGTAAACTGCTGATTTTTTAATAAAATTCCGACAATCGAAAATCAACAATGATCGGCGCAGCTCGATCGTAAAGCGTGGAGCCCATTCAACAGCGTGCAACGCTGTGCAGCACGTGCTATGCCGCGCCCACTAACAAAACACAAGCCAATCAGAAGCGAGACACAACACAGGCCATAATCCAAAGGCGTAGCGCCTAGCGCCACTGACGTGAACGCTAGTGATCCCGGTCTCACATGCCTCTGGGGGGATGCCGAGCTCCTGTGAGGCTGGACACACTCCCGAATCCACGAGAAGACGACGGTCGCCGGTGTCTGTGTGTGCTCAAAAACATCAAATTCTCTTAATCCATTTTATCACATCAATTACATAAAGGCACAATTTCATTTTAATACGATGTGAATAAAGAGATCCAATTATAAAAATACTATCAAATCATTAGGAACAGATCAACAATAACAGATCAACAAAAGTATTAATCAAATTGTAGACTAGGATCCTCCATTTCTGACTCGCAAAGGTCACAGGTCCTGTCCACCGTTTGCCGCACATTGGCCCATTCCGCTCTGTTGAGCAATCCTGCGCATCCATAATGCGACTTTCCATCACAATCCGCTTGAGAATCAGGTGCGTATCACGTACGACTTAGAATACTGCTTCAATCTTTAGAATCTGGTGCGTATCATTCGTACGACTTCAAAATGAGATCCAATAAAGGTCATGGAGGGACGTCAATGAAGACAAGCGTAGTTCGCTTCCTCCCTAGTAAAGGTCATCCTTTGTTGAGATGATCCGTTGAGATGTGCGACTCTGTTTTGGGTTAATGGTCCCAAAGGTCATGCGACTTGAATTCCGATACGGTGACTCTATTGGGCAATTGATGATCCCAAAGGTCATCCCACTCGTCAAAACTTCTGTTAAAGGTCATGGAGGAACTTAGCCGATTTTTCTGCGGCTTCAAGCACTTCTTTGCTTGCCTCCCTGGTAAAATTTGCAGTTTGACCTTTCCGTCGCACATCCAACTTCAATATGCCTCGAGCGGCCAGAGTGCCGGCAAGTTTACCGTAGCATCTCTGATGGGGCCGGCTAGTTACCGCATTAAGTTTTACCCCATGAAAATTCCATCTTAAATCTTTTACTCTTGTTCGCCGCTTGTGGCTTACGTTAGTACGAGAAATCCGGCTTGATTACCGTAGTTTTTCTCGTTTTAATTATAACACTGAATCGCTTGAAAAGAGTGCCGGCATAGTTTACCGTAACAACTCTAATGAGGCCGGCTAATTGCCGCATTAAGTTAACCTCATCAATATTCCACCTGTTGTTTTTCTCTTTTTCGCCGCTTGTGGCCCCGTTTCGTATTCAAGAGATCCGGCTTGATTACCGTTGTTTCTCTTGTGCATTTATAACACTGAGTCGCTTAGAGAGGAGAGCCGGCTAACTGCCGTAACTACTCCCTTGGGGCCGGCTTTATAGACCGAATCAATTTCAACCCCAATAGATATTCCACATGATTTCTTTTAGGCAATTCTGTGCTATAAACGCTGCAAACAGCAAATACACAAATACAGTTTATGTTAACATGTCACGTGTCACGTCCTTTATACAACACCATTTTCATCTTTGTGACGTACCGACAAATGCCGTAGACGTCCTTTTAATAGTGTGATCCTAAAGGTCAACACTATTCCATTTCATTTGAATCGCCCTCGCCATCTCTCGGCGGGCGTTTCTTAGCGCTTTCCGGTTGGTTTCGGTCGGAAGTTCGGTCAACTGGTTCCGTCGAGTCGACTTCCATGACCTTTGTCGGGTCAACTTCGCGCTGGCCACGACCTTTACCTTGGCGACTTCGCTTAACCGCCTCAAGTCGATGGCGTGCGTCATTCTCTTCGAGTCGCAGTCTGCGGTTGTCCGGGTCTTCCGCCAATCGACGCTGCACGTCGGCGAGATTATCCCGCAGCTGTTGGTTTCGGATGCCGCGTCGTCCCATCTGGTTAGGCGCACGGTCTGGACGACGGTCACTTTTCTTCACTAAGAATTCATCAATGTAAGTTTCGATTCCGTCCACCGGTTCGACGTAGTCGCTTCCCAGAGAATCTTTAATCTTATTAATCCTTTCTTCTACTTGGGATGCGTGGCGCTGTGTCAAGTTGCCCTTTTCCATTCGTGTCTTGCACTTTTTCAGCGCCTTGCGAGCCGTATGCGCTATGCTGATATGTTCCATCGGTTGTCCCAATTTAGCGACATGAGCTCGGAAGAACGGTGGAATGTCGTCCTTCATAGTATTAGACACCAATTGATTCTGTGTCTTGTAATGTGCCAGTCTCGCGGCAAAGACCTTTTGCCCCATCCTTTTTGCGGCATAGTCCTTAGGATCCACCTGTAGTCCTATCGACGCTCTTGCTGCAAGCAACTTGAAGGCTGGGTTCACATGTCGTAAAACGTACTGAGCCACGTATTCTTGTCGCTCGGGATAATCTGTGTAATAAAATTGTGTCATCCCAATTGGGTCAGTCGTATCCAGCGGCACATCCAATAGACTCAAATCCACCAAACTGTGTAGCCCATTCCGTCTGATAGGGAGATAACAGTCCCGTACTGAATCGCGGTGGATGAATAACCGACGGAAAAGTCCTTGTTCCACTCCTTGTTTAATCTCTCTCGCATAACCCGAGTCAAGTAGGAATTGGCTCAACTGTCTCAGAATTGTGCCAATTTTATTGGCTTCAACCGAATCCGGCTCAAGTCCAAAGTATCGACAAATTTCGACCGTTTGCTCATCGATATCAGTCGTCTTATATTCCATGTCAATACTTTCTGGTTGTCGGTTATTAAATCTGGAGTTTAATCGCTGATCCTTTTGGCGACGATTATCCGGTTCGCCTTGACCTTCCAGTTCACGTCGGTCTGCTGATACTGGCTGTGACGGTTCATTACTCGTCGATGAAGCCGGTTGAAGGTCACTATCCAAGATTACATTTCGTCGGTGAGTCACATTCTCTTGAGACGTGGTTTCGACAACTGAGCCAGTGCCTTCCATCGCGTCATCTTCTTGTACGGTACTCACGATGGGATCCACTACATGAACCACTGACTCCACCCGCTGATACTTTGGGTGAATCTTCCCGTTCAGTGCTTGATGACCTTTTATTTGCGCCTGAGTCAAAGCATGCGTGAATGCAGCCCTCTGCCATCTTTTATCGCGTGGGTCAGGCGTTCGATTTCGCGCATGTTCGCGTCTTTTATCCCATGACCTTTCGGGTGTTGACATCCTAACGTTACGATTACGGAAAGCAACTCCGTCGGCACCTGATGTCCTTCCTTTCAGGTTCTGTGCGGAATGTCTCCGCGCCGTTTGTCTTCGCGTTCTCTGGTCGCCAATAACTTCTGTGTCGATCTTCCTCTGAATGCTCATCTCTGTTATTCATCGCCGTGGCG